GGACGGGATAGTATTAGGAGAATATACCTAATGTAAATGACAAGTTAATGGGTTGCAGGCACATCAACATGGCACATGTTTATATCGATATGTAACAAACCTGCATCATTGTGCACATGTACCCTAGAACATAAAGTATAAAAAACAAAAATCCAGGCCAGGTACAGTGGCTCACGCCTCGTAATCGCAGCACTTTGGAGGCTTGAGGCAGTCAGAATTCATCTGAGGTCAGGAGTTTGAGGACCGCCTGGCCTAACCATGGTGAAAACCCATGAGTCTTCTACTAAAAATACAAAAAATACCCCAGGTTATGGGTGTCAGGGCGCCTGTAATCCTAGCTACTCGTGAAGCTGAGGCGGAGAATCGCTGAACTGGGAGCAGGAAGTTGCAGTGAGCAGAGATTGCGCCACTGCCACTCCAAGGCTTGGGGCAACAAGAGCCGGAAACTCCGTCTCAAAAAAAAAAAAAACTCCCTTTACAGTAGTAAAAGAGAACCTGATCAATGAGTTCAGAGTTCGGACTATCTTGAGGACAACACAGGGAGAACCCCATGCTCCACCAAAAAAAACATTTGGTTGTTTTTTTTTGGGTTTTTTTGTTGTTTTTTTTTTGAAGGAGTCTTGCTCTGTCGCACAGGCTGGGAGTGCAGTGGCCAGGATCTCAGAGCTCACTGCAAGCTCGCCCCGGGTTCACGCCATTCTCCTGCCTCAGCCTCCCAAGTAGCTGGGACTATAGGGCCCGCTACCTCGCCCGGCTGGTTTTTTGTACTTTTTAGTAGAGACGGGTGGTTTCACCGCTATTAACCCAGGATCGTCTCGATATGCTGACCCTCGTGATCCGCTCTGTCTCGGCCTCCCAAAGTGCTGGGATTACAGGCTTGAGCCACCGCGCAACCAGGATGGTCTCGATCTGCTGACCTCGTGATCCGCCTGTCTCGGCCTCCCAAAGTGCTGGGATTACAGGCTTGAGCCACCGCGCCCGGCCAAAATTTTGTTTAATTAGCCAGACGTGGTGGCATGTACCTGTGGTCCCAGCTACTTAGGAGGCTGAGGTGGGAGGATCACTTGAGCCCAGGAGGTCGAGGCTGCAGTGAGCTGTGATGGCACCACTGCACTCCAGCCTGGGTGGCAGAGTGAAACCATATCTCAAAAAAGAAAATTATTAAAGGAGAACTCTGTGTTTCTTGATGAAGAACCTTGAGGAGGCTCGGAGTGATGCCCCTGTGACTTCCAGGGCAGGAATTGCAACTTTTTGGAAGTGTTGGGTGGTTCTCCCCCAAACATGCTGGTGGAGGAAGCAGGGAATTCCCCAAGTGTGTGTCATGGAACAACCTCATGTTGTAAAGGAATCGATACGGATGGATGGATGTGTGTGTAAAAATGATCAGCCAGGTGAGGTAGCTCATGCCTGTAATCCCAGCCCTTTGGTAGATGGGCGGATCACCTGACATGAGGAGATCGAGACCATCCTGGCCAACATGGTGAAACCCCGTCTCTAATAAAATACAAAAAAAAAAAAAAGTAGCCGGGCATGGTGGCATGCGCCGGTAATCCCAGCTACTCAGGAGGCTGAGGCAGGAGAATCACTGGAACCCGGGAGGCAGAGGTTGCAGTGAGCCGAGATCACGCCACTGCACTCCAGCCTGACAACAGAGTGAGACTCCATCTTAAAAAAAAAAAAATTATCTAGCTGGCCGGGCATGGTGGCTGACGCCTGTAGTGCCAACACTTTGGGAGGCCAGGGTGGGTGGATCACTTGAGGTCAGGAGTTCGAGACCAGCCTGGCCAACATGGCAAGATCCCATCTCTACTAAAAATACAAACAATTAGCTGGGCTTGGTGGTAGGTGCCTGTAATCCCAGCTACTAGGGAGGCTGAGGTGGGACAATTGCTTGAACCTAGGAGGCCGAGGCTGCAGTGAGCGACGATCACACCACTGCACTCCAGCCTGGGGGACAGAGCAAGACTCTATCTCATAAATAAGTGATCTAGCCTGTGATATCCCCAGGAAAAAGGATTCCAGGAATCCTGAGCTTTCTGTGTTATCTATTTCCACCATGTTTTGATGGGTGTAAAGAACATGTGTCTCTTTGTAATTAGGGACATCAAAGACGTCAGACTGGACGGCGAGTCCCAGTGAGCTGATACTGGCAGAGGAGCTCTGAGCCGCCCACCTGAGGTGGCTTCCCATCCATACGGGTGCTTCCCAGACACTTCGGTTTGCTTGGCAGAAACTTCTTTTCATTCTTCCAAAGCATCGATGGTCTTCGCATCTTCTCAGGGTGTTTCCTGGGAGGAATTCTTGGATGGTGTCCTTGTGTCGGCGGAGAACAGTGCTCAGAGCTGGCGCTTGCAGACTCGGGTGTCGTGGGGCAGGGCAGTGGCACCTTCCTGACCTTTGAAGGTGGTGACACAGTTGCTTGGACACGGACGCCCCTGCTCTCCGGGCACAGCACCCCTGGGTTTGCAGAGCAAGCAGCCTTCCTAGGGCTTTCCACCTGGCGAGGCCGCGCTCTGCTCAGCAACGTGAATGCCTGGGCAGCAGAGGCGCCTCCCCTTCTGTCAGGCAGCTTCACAGAGCGCGGCTTCAGCAGTCAGAGGGAGCAGTCCGGAGAAGCAAGATGACCCCACCGGGACTGCAGAGCCTCCTGCTTACTAACAAGGACCTGTCCTCAGCCGCGAGGTCCCTCACTCCCACGCTGTAATTGTGGGGGGAGTGCCAGCAATAGGTCTGTCCCCTGGCAGGTTGGCCACGGAGCCCACCTTCCACTGCAAGGCTGTGACAGCCCGGGCACCCCCGCTTCTCCTCTGCTTGTACGGTTCCCCCAATAAATCCTATTTTCCATCTCACCGTGTAGAGCTGATGCTTGTTCACATCCCCCTTGCAGCAACAGTTGGCCACCGTGAAGTCACACCCCATCATGTCTCCATGCTAGTGCCCAGCAGGCGACCGCCCCACCATGCCTGGGTAGTTATGGTCACCTGGCCCAGATATAACCTGGACCAACAGTGGATGGGGACACCTGGAGTTGGGGCCTCTGGAGGGACTGCTGAGGGGCCAGCTGCAGCCCATGGTCTCTCCCAGGCCCGATGTGGCAGGTCATGTTGCTGAAAGAGGTGGGATGCTCTGCTCTGGCCATTAGCCTGAGCTCCCCCTGACTCATTTGCATAAGCCTGGGCAAGTGGCACCCTTGGGCCAAGGGCAGACTTGCCCACCTGTCCATCCTTTGCCGATGGCAGAGGACACAGGACACAGTGGCTGCGCTTCGGGCGGTGTTCGCGGCCCTGAAGCATCCTGCCCTGAGGCGGACCGAACTGCCCCCAGCTGGACTCGGGGCCAAGGCTACAGATCCAGTACTCCAATCCCGACTCTCACTGTGTGGTGCAAATGTGCACGCCCACAGGAGGCAGCCATGCCCGAGGAAGGCATCTGCTGAAAGACGGTCCAGCTCATGCCGCCACCAGCTGGACCTCTGGTCAGGCTCCCTGCAGAGGGGGAAGCTCCACACGTGCCCAAGATACGAGAGAAACGCCCGGGTCACAGCAGCCTGAGTCACTGCAGCCTCTGCTACCTGCCAAGCCTGCGCCCTCTGCACCTGTGGGCTGGTTGCCTCTGTGATGGGGCCTCCATGGCCAGCATCTTCCTGCCATGGTCACATCATGCCATGCCCTGTCACTTGGCTGGGCTCTAGGCATCCCTAAGCGAGTGTGAGACGAGTCAGAGGAAGGATATCAGCTTCTCTTCTCTTCTGGACATTTGCGTCATTGACCGGGGCTGGCCCACTCTTCCTCTGCCTCGCGTCTGCTTTGACCTCAGAGGAGAGATGGCAGCCTACGTTGCTGGGCTGAGACTCTCCAACGTACGTGAATTTGGATGATGCTGTTGCCTTGGGCAGGTTCACAGCCACCAACCTGCACCCTGGTGGCCACTCAGCCATGACAAGGACCTGACAGCCACTAAGTGAGCTTCAGAGCCTTCCTTTGGAAGGTGCCAGAGCCACCAGATGTCCCCTGCCCAGTCACTGTCACAGAGTTAAAGCGTGCGGGTGAACGCTGGCTGCAGAGTGTGCAGCCCAGCAGCGGCTCAGCGGGGCAGCTCCTGTTTCCAGCCCTGGCTCTGCTGGTGCTTCGCCCACAAACCCTGCTGTGTGCCATCTGCACCACGTGGTGTGTGTCGGTGCCCTTTGACGTGACAGTGCCAACAACGTCTCATGAAATTTAAAATAAATTCCCAAGGCATCAGAATGGTATCAACAAAGAACTCTAAGTTTGAAAATGGGGGTAGGGGCAGTGGCCAGCTCTGGGAGCCCCTGAACCCCCGGTCCCTGACCCACAGTCGTCAGGTGGGCCCCATCCCCCTGTGGTCCCAGCCTAGCCTCCTGTCCCACCTCCTCTGCCAAGTCAGAGTGGCACAGGACCCCTGCCACTAAGGCCAGCAGGTGTGTCTCTGAGCTGGCCGCAGGCACTTACTGCCCTCCCAGGTCCCCTCCAATGCCAGCTCCTCTGGCTTCCCCTCCCAGTCCCCTTCGTGAGCCCAGCCTTGGAGTGGGGGTTGGTGATTTGGGAGTTGGACCTCAGCCCACTTCTGCTCTGCCACGTTTGGGGTTCACGGTTTGTCAGTTAGCCCTCCCTTCTGCAAATGAGACCTGGGTGTCGTGTCCAGCTGCCTCCTGGGCCCTGCCCAGCATCTCCCGTGAGCACCAGCAATGCAGGCGGCAGAGGGGACTGTCCCCTGCCCTCTTGCCTGAGGGAGGAGACCACGGATGAGTGACAGTTATCCTCGATGCCCTGCCTGTCCTGCGTCCCATCAGTCGTCAGGGGCTGCCACCTGCCTGCTTTGTCTTTTTTTTTTTTTTAAGATGGAGTCTTGCTCTCACCCAGGCTGCAGTACAATGGCGTGATCTCGGCTCACTGCAACCTCCGCCTTCCTGGTTCAAGCGATTCACCTGCCTCAGCCTCCTGAGTAGCTGGGACCACAGGCGCCCGCCACCACGCCCAGCTAATTTTTGTATTTTTAGTAGAGACGGGGTGTCTCCATGTTGACCAGGAAGGTCTTGATCTCTGGAACTCGTGATACATCCGCCTCGGCCTCCCAAAGTGCCGGCCCATCAGTGGCTTTTAATAAGTTCACAGGGTTGTGCATCTATCACAACTATCTCATTCCAGAACATTTTCATTACCCTGAAAAGCAGCCCCTTCCCCATTAGCAGTCCCTCTCCTCTGCCGTTTGTTTTTTTTTTCTTAAGACAATCTCACTCTGCTGCTCAGGCTGGAGTTCAGTGGTGTGAACTTGGCTCACTGCAACCTCCACCTCCTGGGTTCAACCAATTCTGTTGCCTCAGCCTCCTGAATAACTGGGATTACAGGTGTGCACTCCCACACCCAGCTAATTTTTGTACTTTTAGAAGAGGCAGGGTTTCAAAATGTTGGCCAGGCTGGTCTTAAACTTCTGGGCTCAAGCAATCAGCTCCCCTCAACCTCCCAAAGTGCTGGGATGACAGGTGTGAGCCACACTCGCGGCCCCTCTGCCTGTTTCCTTCCCTCCTGTGCTAAGGGGCTGATGGGCCCCTTCCTCTAGAGTGTAATGCTGAGAGGATCTGGAGAATCCGGGGAAGGCACTAGGACAGCAAAGGAGACCCTTTCATGGGTCCCTGTATTCATAAACATTCCCATCCCTCAGCCCCTGACTCATGCAGGGCCCAGCCGATGGCAGGTGTGACCACAGCAGTCTCCAAGCCTGTCTCCCTGCCTGCATTGTTCCTCTGCAAAACCTGGCCCCATCATAGCTCAGCGAGAACAGGGCACTTCCTCAGTGCACATCCCAGCACACGTACCTGCCCAGGCACACTTTCCCTGGCCTCCTTTTCTTGAAACAAGTCTCACTCTGTACCCAGGCTGGAGTGCAGTGATGTGGCCTTGGCTCACTGCAGCCTCCAACTCCTGGGGCTCAAGGGATCCTCCACCCTCAGCCTCCCAAGAGGCTGGGACCACAGGTGTGCACCACCACATCCAAGCAGTTTTTTAACTTTTTTTTTTTTTTTGAGACAGAGTTTTGCTCTTGTTGCCCAGGCTGGAGTGTGGTGGTATGATCTCGGCTCACTTGGCAAAACCTCCACCTCCCAGGTTCAAGCGATTCTCCGTGCCTCAGAGCCTCCAAGTCCGATGGGATTACAGGATGTCCACCACCCCGACTACATTTTGTATTTTTTTTTTTCATAGAGACAGGGTTTTCACCCATGTTGGTTCAGGGTAGTTCGAACTCCTGACCTCAGGTGATCCGCCCCGCTCAGCTTCAAAAGTGCTGGGATTACAGGCTTGAACCATGGCCTAATTTTTAAATTTTTTGTGGAGACAGAGTCTCTGTGTGTTGCCCAGGCTGGTTTCAAACTCCTGAACTCAAGAGATCGAGCCACCTGCCTCAGCCTCCCAAAGTGGTGGGATTACAGGTGTGAGCCACTGCTCCTGGCTCTAAAAATGCAAATTGAAGCACACAACACCTGCCCTGTTTTTCGCATCAGGTGTGACTACCTGGTTCAAGGACCAGAAACCAGACATACCCAAGGGGGTTCTCTAGAGCCCAAGGGGACGACAGTCCCTGGCCTCAGGCTGCTAGCACCAGCCACGGTTGCCTCCAGATACCCGTTCCACTGGCCCTCCTCCTGCCTCCAGCCACCTGCTCTGCTTCCCAACCTGCGTGGCCAACAGAAGACATCCACTGCCCAGGAACGAGACCAATCACCCGGTCCCCGTTCTGAAGCCCCAGAGGAACAGGTCCAGCTGGGGGCACTTAACCATAGTCAGGGCCACTTTGTGCACACCGCCTACCAGGCCCCTGATGAGGAGGGCGTTGGGCCTGAGCAGCCTGTCATTGCAGCCTTTGGGGGTCCACACCCTGCCTAATGAGCCTCGCCCCTCACCACCCTCCACCCGGCCAGCTCCTCCACACTCCAGCACACAATTGCTGCAGAACAAATCACTAGAAATGTATCATCTCGAAACAATACCCACTTACCTCATGGCTTCTGTGTGGCAGGAGTCCGGGGAGGGGACTGCTGAACCTCTGCTCAGGGTCTCACAGGCTGCACTCGAGGTGTCAGCTAGGGCTGGGATCTCAACCGAGGCCCGAGGTCCTCTCCTGAGCGCTTGTCGTCGTGTGCAGAATCTATTTCTTGCAGCTGTGGAGCCGATGGTCATATGCTTCTTTGGCATCAGGAGGGGGCGGCTCTGCAGTGTCTAGCCTCTTAAAGGCTGCACCTGAGCTAGCCAGGCTTAGCCAGATCAACCTCCCTTCTGATTAACTCCAAGTCACCTGATTAGAACCTCCAGTTACACCTGCAGAAACCCCTTCACTGCAACACCCCAGGAGAGGCAAAAAGAAAAACAGGAAAAAGTCCCTCCACCGGTGCCACAGAACAATCCGATCACAGGAGAGGTGGCCCATACTCTAGGGAGGGGGTCACAGAGCACAGAGACCCCGAGGGGGAATCTCAGGGCCACCTCAGAATCCCGCTGGCCACAGCTCCCAGCCCACCCCTCACTAACCACCAATCCCCTCCCTGACCTGGGAGGAGCGCCACACAGGGAAGGGGTGTTGGGGGCCTGCCTGTGGAAGTGCCCTGGCTTGGAGGGACCCCACTGGGCTGTGCCCCTGCCAGCCGTGTGGTTCCAGACAAGTCCCTGTGGGCCCCACTCTCCCTGGTACTGCCCAGTCTAAGGCAGGAAGCCTTGGGGGCTGTGTGGGGTGCCCAAGTGGCCCTTACTGGGGTCCTGAGAAGAGGCCTGCCTGGACCTCACAGATCTGCTAGGGGTGCAGGGGTCGAGGGAAGGCCCCCCTGGGGGACAGGCCGGACA